CCCGGAGCTCGTTCCTCTCTCGCCTTGTTCAGAGCCTCCGCTCGGGGCTTGTCCCGCGATGTGTAGAGCCCGGCTGGCCTCTGCGGCTTCCTTAAAACCCAGAGTGTGGTCTCTTTCTTTAAAGGACTTGCTCGGCCTCAGCCTCGTGTTCAGAATTTTGAAAAAAACCCTTACATTGAAGGGTCTCCTCTAGACCAACCTATGAAGTACTCGGGGGTGGTCGTATTTGGCCGTGTTGGTCTCAGGACACCGGCAGACACGGGTCTTCGGGTAGATGCGATGTAAGAATGTTTGTGCCCGAAAGCTCATAAAAAAGAAATTTTTCTAGCTATTTGAGTTGGTCTATGAAGTACTCCTTTTCTTAGAAATGGAGTATAACCATGTGTGGCCTTTGGCCGAATGCGACAGCAAGTAGCTAGTTAGGCCCCCCAGGCCAGAAAGTGAAACTCTCTCTTTGCTCTTAGTTTGCAAACTGAAAGAAAGGAAATGTGAGATGAGCAAATGGTGAAAGGCCCTGAGCGTGCTGTGAGGTTGGATAAAGGACTGTTTAAAGGACTGTATGAACCTTGCAGTGCTAGTAGTCGTAGGAAGATGGATAGATGTGATACTGAAGTAAATTAGGTTTTAGGGTGCCCACGCTATTAATGGGTGCCACAAGTAGCACAAGCAACTGCTGTATATGGGATCTAGGTGCTCAGAAAAGGGAGGTGCCAGACTGGAGGCATTGAGCCTCCAGCAACAGAGGAGGAGAGCAAGGGCTGGATACTGCTGATAGATGAGGTATCAGGTGTCACTTCTTAAGTCAGGTTAATTCTTTCATGGCCCTGCAGCTACTGTCAAATGCAGGGCTTTATCCTTGCCATATAAAACCCCAGGCTGCTTATGGACGCTAAAAAAACAAACAGAAAAACCCGGTCCTTGACAAATGAATACGCTGCTTCTTTTGGACTTGGCTCTGCAGCATCTGTTTAGATTGGGTGCTTCAGCAGGGCTTTTTGGCTCTCTTATCTAATAGCTGATTGAATCTACAGATGTTGAGTGAGCTGTGTCCAACTAACACGATGCCTCTTCTGGACATGTGCTTGGTTCAGCACAGGAGTGTGCTAAGTTTAAAGTAAAGTGCTAGGGGATTTTTTGTTAAGGTCTGTAAGTAGCCACAGTGATTATGGGGTCAGAGAAGGGTTAACATGGCTCTTGACAGT